GTCGTTGCAGATCCGGGTCATTTATGGCCCCCATTCCTTCGGCGTCATTTTCTGGCCTGTCGTTGCCATCTGGGCTTGTTGCCGTCTGGGCTGGAGAAGAATGTGGGTCTGAAGAGTCATCACTGCTTGAGGACGAGTCGAATTCACTGCGTCGTCGTGGCACATAGCTCCCTGCTGCTGGTGCCATAGCAGTGGATTCGGAGCCTGATGAATCACTGCTCGAGACCAAAGAAGTCGAAGAGCTACCAGTACTAGAGGATGAGGAGACATCAAGTTGGGTGGCCAAGGCACCACTGCTGCTTGAGGAAGAGGACGAGGATGAGGCTAATGCATGACGCACTTTTGGCATATAGCCCTCTGGAAGTAGTTGTCGTGAAGATAGATGTGGCGAAGAGTCACCAGCAGTAAACGAAATGTTTGTCACTGGTGGGTTGCTCGTCTCATTGTGATTTGACCCTCCAGCACCTGTAGCGTTGGTATGAGATTCTACTGCTGGTGGTGTTATACGCGGTCGTTTATGTCGAAAAGAGAGTGCTGGAGTTGATAGTGGATCGTTGTGGACAATATGAAGATTGGATGCCTCTTGCCATGTGTCGTTGTTTTCCCACTTTACAAGTACATCACCGTCCGTCTTGACTTCCAACACAGTCCCAACATGTGCAGTACTCGTCCTATAGGTCACCTTGTCACCCTCTTTGAAAACAGGCATAGCAGATAGCAGTATTCTTTAGAATGACTTCACATGAGCTGCAATTGTTAGAAATGCAATGAGTACCAAAGCAGCGCTGCAAGGCGCGCCGGGTTTTGCGTGCCGTAAGCACCAACGGGGGGGGTATTGGAATTCATTCCAACACCCATTTGCTCCAGGTCCCTTCAACACTCCACATGTTTTGCTCACCACCGCCATCAACACTCCACAACAAAACGATGGAACCAATTAGTAGCAGGAAGGAAATCTTGGGTCTCTTTTGTTCCAAGTATGGTGTTAATGTTGAAAATGTTGGAAACGAGATCCTCTATCCTCCTCCAAGTCAACATAATGCTTCCAAAAATGACAGCGCCAACGTGAAAATCCCCAATTTGATTGACGCCCAGGCTGCAGTTGAATGCATTACCGTGAATCGCTATGCTATGATGGCAGATGAAGACACAAAGGGTTGTTTCAGGTTGCATAAGCTAGATACTGGGCGGGAGGAGACACCAGTGACGACCAAAAACATCGCTGTTGCGTCTTCATATGGCACGATTTCTAGCATCCTGTTGGCGATGGTGTCACAAGCCTTGGTTATTCACAAAGATGAGAAGGGAGCATTTTCATTTCAGATTGGAGCACAGCCCAATTGGAATGCCCGAGGAATAGACCGTAATGCGATATCTGGGATGTTTGACGAGCACAAGCACAAAAGTTTGCTGTCTTTCTATTTGGGAAATCAAGGAACAAAGGAACAAGAGGACCACGAATTCGCTCTGGTGCCATATGCAACCAAAGGAGAATTCGAAGAGTATAAAGGCCTCACCACCAAAGAAAGTATCCAAAAATTTGTTGCCAAGCTGTTGGAACTTTCGCCAATTGATCATTGGTCTACTGGAGCACTTAATTGGGAGTGCATTCATGATCTTGTTTTCATAGCAAAGGTCCTTTGGGTTGGTTTGGAATTGCCGTCTTTTGCAGCAATTGGAGGCCGGCACCGGCTTTTCACGGTGTGTCATCTTCTTCTTGGTTGGAAAGCCACCACCAATGGCAGCACACTCAAATGCCTAGAAGCAAAACTTCCAAATACTCTAATTTGGTACAAAGCTCCGATACAAATTGTGGTGGGAAGAGATGGAGGCCTTTTGCGCAGTTTCAGTCTCCAACTACAGGACCAAACTAAGCATACAATCCCCATAAATCTTGGTAACTTTATGATTGACGTTTTGGGGAATTGCCAGAAGAGATCAAATCTGGATGCTTTGAAGAAAGGCCCAGATGCTATGAAACTCTTTTGGGATGCAACAATCATGTGTCTGAAGTCAAATGAAGCATACAGAGAACTGACAAAGGCTGTACCAGGAAGTAAAAGCAGTCTTCTTGACATTGCACTTGACAGTAGAAAGCGGAACAAGAAGCTGTGGAACTCTTTCATGAAGTTTCTGTCCAAAGGCAAATATATGTTTCCAGCACGAGAAACAAATGAGCCTGTTACAACCATGCTTATTTTTTAAATTCCACAAGCTTTGCTAAGATATTCCCTGAACTGACAAAAGAAATCACAGATGTGTCCTTAAAAAAGCTTGAAAGCCTCGATTTGTATCTGAACAGCATCATCAACTTTGTAACCCCAACACTCATGACCTATTACATCTGGAGCGTAAGAAATGATAGGCAACCCAATCCCAGAAGCAACGGGGACATATATACCAAGCTCATCCTTGACCACCGGCTTGGCAGCATTCTATTCTGGGCACTGACAAAATGGGGATTGGAAATCCAAGGCAAAGACCAAAACCAAGGCAAGAACAAACCACTTTGGATTGACCCCGAGCCAATTTCAAAGGACTCTACAATCAATGACTCTCCTCCTTGAGAGCGGGCGGTACAACTTCGATCACGATTTTGATGGCATCCAAGTCAAGAACCATGTCAGCGTCATCGCGAACATGAGGATAAATAGCCTCTTGGGATGTCCACCAAAAATGGTCCTAGCTATTGGAATGACAACCCTAGCGATTCCTCCTTTTCCCTTTCAGACCGCCAAAGATGAGAAGTCAGAAGTTATATTCGGATGCAATCTGTCCGACAAGGAACTTTGCGACTGGGTACGGCTGAGTAAGCTACATGAGACGCCAAATGTTCATGTTTTTACCATTTCGGACGACAAATGCTTAAACAACCACCCATATGGATTTCATCCTCATCTCCACAAAGAGTCGAACGCCAAGGACGTCCATATTCTTGTGGAAAGAGCCAGAGACATGTTGAAATCTTACGGATTGAATGGCTTTGATCAAATCTGCTTTGATTACTTCATTGGGCAAACAATAAACGCCTGGACCAGTACTATTTGTGAGCTGGCCAAGTTGCTTAGTCCCGGTGGAGCACTGTATATGCTCAAACACAAAGAAGATTGGACTGGGGAAGTGGGTGCAGATGATACGTTCAGAGAGGCCAGGCTCAAGGTGGAAGACTTCAAGCTTGGCTCCGAACACTGGCTCTGGAATGCGACCAATGCTGTCCCTCCATGCTTCTTGAAATCTTCCGGCAACTCCTCAATTGAATCTCATCTCAAGATATCCATTGTCAGTACAAAGGAAAACGCCGGGCTATTCACTATAAATCGATTTCAATCAACCACAGATCACCAACCGGCTGCCCCTGAGATGCTCCCACCAGCAGGGAAAAGAGATGCTGAATTGGCGACATCGAATCCAGATGAAAATGGTTTTGAGATGGAGTTGGATATCAAGGGTGATGGCGCCCAACATCCATCTGACCCATTTTCCAAAACGTCAGCAAAAAAGATGTTAGGCACAAGCATCAATACCCAGGCAACCAAACGCACAACCCAGGAAGAGACAGCAGCCAAGAAGCCAAAGACGACGAAGCAGCCAAAGACGCCAATGAAGCCACCAACTGCCCCTAAGCTGCCAACTGCGTCCGAGTCACCAACTGCCCTGGAGTCACCAGCTGCCCCAGCTACCCCAGAGTCACCAGCTGCCCCCAAGCCACCAACTGCCTCGGCCCAGGAAGAGACGGCAGCAAGAAGCCAAAGACGACGAAGCAGCCAAAGACGCCAATGAAGCCACCAACTGCCCCCAAGCCGCCAACTGCGTCCGAGTCACCAACTGTCCTGGAGTCACCAGCAACACTTCAAAAGGAACAATTCAACAAAATGCAGGCATGGAAGGGTGAATTTTGAGCGGGGGTGCATGGCATATCACACGCTGCACTACATAGGTCCAACGCCAGGTGCAAGCCAGTTGGAGTCCGGAATAAGTGGGGGTGGTATTTATGTGGATAGAGTTGTACAGGAGAGAGCAGTAGATGGGTTGGTTCAAGATCAATTGCCAGACGACGCTATTTTATTGTGTCTTGGCACTAATCATGCTGCTCTAAAGAATGAACTGGTTGACAAGATGAAGTCGCCCAGCTGTCTGGTCAAGATTTTGCTACCACTCCTTGTTTCAACAATTGGATCAAAATCACCAGCAACCTTTGTTCAGGCTGGAATAGAAAGTGTGCGCGAGGGTCCGGATTCCCCAATGGCGTTTATTTCAGGGGCAGACCAATGGATGCGCCAGTATTCAGCAAGGATGGTTGCCATGTTGCCCAGGAGTGTTCGCCATGAGATGCTTTCACTTTGTGTCTATACTGAGTATGAAAGCATTTTCACGGTGAGAAACAAGATCGAACCCGTCTGCTCTGAGTTGAAAAAGATTATTCATTTCACATGGAAGGCTTTTGGTTTGATCCATGGATTTGTTGATGAACGGGCACCACTACAAGTCCGAAAGTGTCTGTACATGTTGAGTTTGCAGAATGGAGAAAATCTTGTTGACGGTTCCCCCGAACTACTACAATACACGTCATTTTGTTTCTTCGAATCATCAGAATCTTTGAAGGGTGCATATGCCATTGACAGCACTTTGGCAACAATTCTTTAAATCTGCCGTCTGGGCAGTCTTGGAAAGGCTTTCAAGTGTAATGGGAATAATTATATTGGTCAACAGCTGGCTCTATAGGGTCTTTTACGAAAAAGAATGGGGTAGGGATAGGTAAAATTCAAACACTTGCAGGTCATGATTCCAAACAGTCGCGGAAAACGAGTGGCCTCCTATGAAGGAGAGCTGCAAAGCAATGATGCTTCATGATAGGTTACAGTTTGCTGGCCAGGCGAGAGGTTGTGAGATCCATCGAATCTGAAAGGGGGTGTCAACCTGTTGTGTGACAAATAAGACCAAGTTGTGCTGCGCCTGTTGTCCTGGGGCTCTGGAGTCAATGTCGGAGCCTACTCTACTTTCTTTTTCTCTGGAAGAGTCTCTGATCAGAGAAGATGCATACATTACCTTAGTAAAAGGATTGTTACCACAACCTTAACGCAGTATTTCATGTTGTATACTTAGTTGTGTGTGCTGTTTCACGGCAGAATCCATCGTTTGACAACAAAAGTGGTGACCAAAACAACATATTGAGGCAGCGCAAAGATTGAAAGTTCCCTGTCGATGATCGTGAAGACACGACAAAGTCTGTCGGTGATTGTGAAAATAGAAAAAAACTCTGTCGATGATCATGAAACTTGTTTAGTAATACTGAAGGGATTATTATCATGATCATTGACAGACTTTTTTGCTGTCTTCACGACCAAAGGACAGTGCCTTGCTTTTCTCTTTCTGGAAGGAGTGCCATTTTTGACTAAGCTAATCAATGATAGGTTTTTTTGGCATGTCCCAGACAAAGACTACATCATGCGATTCAAGCCCAGGAATGGAGGCGGCGCCGGGAAATCTTCGATTAGTACTGACAGCATATTGACGTAATGCACATGTGGTAGTCAGTCCGCCATCCGACTTGCAGGGATATTCCGCATTTTGGTGTGAATTTGAACCGGAATCGGGGCCTGACCGGCTTGCTCACTCCTTCTGCACGGGGATCTGTGATCCGACATCATCACTGCTCGTGAAATTCATTCTTGGTCGGTGATCGTTGCGTTTTGGTCATAGTTCGTTAAATTATCGACAGTTCCCCTTATTGACTATTGTTTTTGTCCTATGAGTCAAAAATTCTGTGAATTTTTCACAGATGTTCCGAAATCTCTGTGAATGACCAACAGATGTTCCGAAATCTCTGTGAATTTTTCACAGGTTTTTTAAGGGTCTTCACAGATGTTCCGAAATTGCCGTGAAGTTTCAACAGAGGTTCAGCTGACATGCACACATGCTCTTTCGTAAAAGCACCATACAACTTCCGTAGAGGAAAAAACGGTTAATGTTGGGCGCAAGCAATGCTTGGTCGTCTGGGTCAAAAATTCTGTGAATTTTTCACAGATGTTCCGAAATCTCTGTGAATTTTTCACAGATGTTCCGAAATCTCTGTGAATTTTTCACAGGTTTTTTAAGGGTCTTCACAGATGTTCCGAAATGTCGAAATTGTGGCAAATGGTGGGTTCAGCTAGGAATATAACATTTATGGCTGCCCTATGTAAAACTAGTCGTAGACTTTTAAAACGCCGTCGACAGTCAAGAGAATTGTTCTTCCTGAATGATTGTATTCTTTCTCGGGCCAGCTGATCACCTTGTGTTTCAGTTGCCCAATGACTTTCACCCAATGCCAAAGAAACTCGCCTTGGACCATTCGTTCGCTTGTCCCAGTTGTGTTGGCGAGAATGATTGATCGCGATGAGAAATCGCTTAAACCCCTTCTCGCTCTTATCTGATGGTTGGAGTCCCAAGTCTGAGTTCTTAGAGTTCATAATGTCGTTCCAGACAAAGCAGATAGTGCTGGGGGTTGGACCAAAAAAAGCCTTGAAAATACGGATTCGTCGTTGCAAATTCTGCAACCATTTGCATGACAGAAGAGAAGACAAGAAAATTATCCACATCTGCAAACCAGTTGTTGGTGCGGAAGACGATACATTGACGGATCGTTTGAAGGAGCTGGGCTTACATGAGGAGGATGAAGAGGAGGAGGATGACAATGAGGAGGTGGAACAGGAAATGGATGAAGATGAGCAGCAACCGACAGAACAAACAGGCAACCGAAAGCGCCAAATTGCCAAAACAAATGGTCCAAGAAAAAAGCAAAAGCGTAGTTAAACCTTATTCATAGTAAATGCCGTTCTTCTATAGCAGTATAATGTTTGCGACTAGAGTATCTTCAAATCAGCCCCTTCAACAGTCAAGATAAATTTTCTTCCTGGACCATAGTTCTTTTGCTTGTCCGACCAGCTGATCACCTTTGCTTCCAGTGCACAAAGAACTTTCACCCAGTGCCATAGGTTGTCGTCTTGGTCCCTTCGTGTGCTTATCCCAGTAGCTGAGGCAAGGGAGTGGATTGCAACTAGCAATCGCTTAAGCTCCTCCTTGCTTCTGTCAGATGGGCGGAGCCCCAAGTCTTCGTTTGTACAATTCAAAATGTCTTGCCAGAGAATGCATAGAGTGCTGGGGCGTTGGCCAAAATGAGCCTTGAAAACTCCAATATTATGCTCCTTGAAGTTGTCATCAGTAATCGTGGTAGGTGAATCCCCAATAATTTCAAATCCGTAGATCAGCACCTGTTCTGGTGTCACTTCGATTCTGAAACTCTGCGTTTTCTCTTCAAAATCTCAAGCAAGCGTGACCAAATTTGAAAAAAACGGTTAAGTTGGCACCGTCTTCTGAGTTGAATTTTGTATCGCCTGAGTCAAAAATTCTGTGAATTTTCTATCGTCTGAGTCAAAAATTCTGTGAATTTTTCACACATGTTCCGAAATCTCTGTGAATTTTTCACAGATGTTCCGAAATCTCTGTGAATTTTTCACAGATGTTCCGAAACTTCTGTGAAAAATTTACAGGTTTTTTTGGGGTCATTACAGATGTTCCGCAATTGCTGTGAAAATAAAACAAACTTATAAAATTTAATCTGGCGAATGAAGTTGAACACTTAACGACATTGTGAACATTTATAAAATTCCTTGTCATTTTTTGAGTTTCGTGCAGAAGAGGGTGAAAATGACCACATCGACTCTCCAAAAAAAAGAGAAAGCTGGCTTCACAGAAAACTGCGGGATATCCCAGGCCGAAATCATAAAAAGATACTTTTCAGATAGTTGTTGATTGTGGTTGCCTACTACGAGTAGAGGGAATAAATAATCATACGAACCATATGCTGCCAGTACAATAGACACTTCTTTTAAGGGGGAAATAAGAGCATTTATCCTTGCCTACTGTGTGTATCGCAATATCCCTCTAGCCGCAGGCTCTGTTCCTGCAGAGCCAGAAAAGCTTGATGGATATTGCTTTTCTAAAAGAAAGTTGCGCACTATGTAGCTAATTGATGAGGCATTTATGGACATCATTGCTATTGTTGCAGGATACGAACAAGCATGATGGTGATCTGTCAGACAGTCATCACGCATCCAACAAGAGGGATCGGTGTGAAACAATAAAAATTTTCATTAGCGTCCAGCCTGACGAGTACCACGCATCCATCCTTCTCCCACTGCTTGATCAAAACCACAAGGTCTGCGGTGGCCCCTATCTAGCTTAGCTTTTACTGACACATTGGTTCTGCCACTACCTTTTAAGCAATCTTTTCTTCAGGAAGAACTTTCGCAAACGCTTCAACAAAACAGCGCTTTTCTTTTTCATCTTCCTGCTTTTGCTCCCACCACCATTTTGAAACTACGTTCTTTCTCATCCCGGTATCACAAACTCGCTTCCCATGCTCCATCAAGAGATTCCATGGTAAATCACCCTCATGCAAGTGGTAGTATGTGTACAATAGTGAAGCCCAGTCATAAACCTCTTTTGGTTTGGCTGGTGTTCTATCAATCGCGAGTAGCTCATCATGAGCGTATGGGACGCAGCCGCGAAACGAGAAATCTTCATCACCATTGAGTGCCACACCCCAATCAATCACCAATATGTCCACATCCCTAGCGGTAGACGACTTGCCATGGGAGGTATGCTTGTCAGACACAATAATGTTCCCAGGGCGTACATCCAGATGATATACACATCGGTTGTGTGCAGCCTCGAGAGTGTTGTACACCTTTTCCATGACAGAGGGTAGGTGCTGCTTGTTGCATGTCCCATTCCAATCCAAAGTATTGGCAGCCTTACCAATTATACCATTGAGAAGAAGGCCATACGTTTTACCCTGAAAGCCATTCAAAGCAAAATCGAAGGTGCACTTCGCTTCGCAACGTGGAATGTTGGGAACTTTACTTCTTCCAGTCTTCTCTTTGTTCAGTTTATCCAAGGTTTTTGCCTCATCCTCAAGCGAACTCAATGCCAGGTGGGATATTGGAATCTTTATAAAATACTTCTTCGGATCTTCAGAATTATCATGGCACGAAGATTTGATTTGCTGAACTGGGTACACAATCCCAAAGGCTCCGGAACCCAAAAGCTGGCCAATCGATATTTTTGTCATTTCATCCTCACCTCCGTACGAAGGTAACTTTAGTTTTGCTTCTAGTGTGGCATCGGCACACTTCACTCCTGTCAGATTAAAACTGGCCCTCAATGCACACGCCAGAAGCTGAAGACCATCTTGAGATAAGAACTCAATAGGCTTGGACTTGGTAAATAAGACGCTAACTTCTTTCGTTCCCACACCCCCCAGCGATGCTTTGACTGCCGATATCTTGGACAAAGATACAGCAACTCCATACAGGTCGCAATCCACACCAATACCTAGAAAATTGAGCTCCCCTCGCAACCTCTTCGCAAAGTTTCCGACCACTTGATTTGCTGCGCGATTAATTTGTTCGTCATCCTTTTCGGGATTGCGTTCACACCTCTTCACTTCAACTATACCTTCAATCATGCTTGGAAAGGCATGAAAAACGTGCTCACGGATTTCATGGACCAAAAAATCCATGACTCGGTCCTTCTCGGTAACATTTTTGCCTCTTGTTTTCTGTTCCTTGGACACATGAAGGTGACGAAGATTTACAATGCCGAGCAATCGATAGATGATGGCATGGACTATGGGCTGTGCAGCAGCAGTCTCGTTCCAATCTCGGACGACGAGCTTCTTCTCGCACGGTGGGGAAGCTGATTCGAGAAACCCAGGATCAAGGATCTTTGCTACTATCTCCTTCACTTCTCTGGCGTCGCAATCACGACCAGCGCCAGTGCACGGTGCCTCCAAACTAATCAGTCCAACAAGATTATCGGCTAGAACCTCCAATTTTTCCAAGTACCGATCTTTCTTTTCCACCGTCAATATGCTCAGAAAGTCCTTCACTTCCACTTCACTGATAGAAGGTTTTTCTGGGACTTGTTTAGCCGAGCGAGAGTTCTTTTGTGCATTATTCTCTAGGGTTGGGTGAGATTTAACTGTCGTTTCATTGCCAAACGAGGCATGATTATCGAGTTTTCCCTGAGCCTTTTCATGACGTGAACCAATGTCATTGACCCGGTTTTGCACTGCGACGATGAGCTTCTCCCTCTGCGCTTTCAGCTTCCCTTGTCGGTCTTTCAGGCTCTTCCGCTCCGCTTTCAGCTCCCCTCGCTCCGCTTTCAGCCTCCCTTGTCTGTCTATCAGGCTCTTCTGCTCCTCTTTCAGCCTCCCTTGTCTGTCTATCAGGCTCTTCTGCTCCGCTTCCACCTTTGCCTTGAAAAGCTCCATGACGAAGCTGTCGTCTTTGTATTTCTCCATGGTTTTGTCTAGCTTGCGCTTTTGACCTGCCCCGTCAATGCCAGAAACTGTGGCATGACTAGCAATATTAGAACTCGCCAGTTCTTCGCTGATTTTTTTTTGCAAAGCAGCTTTGTCCGAACCCAACGTTTCAAAGTCGGCATCAATCTCTTTCTGTTGATCATTAAATAAGTCGAACTGCCGTTTGGATTCTTCCATGAACGCAATGAAAGCATGTCGGTCTGCATTGCCTTCTTGGAGCTTAATTCTGAGGGTGGACTGTATACAGTTCACTACGTCATTCTCTAAGGGTTTATCATCAGACAAAAGCTTCTCCCAATCATCTTTGCGCTTGTCCCAGTTTTCCACAGTTGTTACAGCATCTTGACGAGCTTTAGATTTGTATTCATTATAACTTTCGTGACAAGGATGATCTGATGCAGTGATTTCATTATTAACAACATTTGCAAGACTATTGCCTTGGGGAGAGGTCATGATGCTCTGTCGCTCGGAAACAAAAAGGCTGGTGGATGATGACGGTAGGTAGATGGGATTGTTTGTTTTGGCTGCGATACCAGTTGTACCGGTAGTACTAGTGTACCGGTACACAGTGTACACGCACGTGTGTAGTGTGCACGCGTGTAATACACATCTTTGTACGTGTACGCATCTAACGTACGAAGAAATTTGGACTCTATTGACCTCAGGTGTTGGCTGGCGAAGGACGGACTGATTCATTCATTCGAATGCCAAAGTAAGCGAAGAAGGTACAGTGGCATGATCTTGTGATGTCTCACCAAGGCAACGACTTGATGTGTCAAACAATTTGATCGTCAAAATTTCTTCGAAAAGGGCGGCAATTGAATAACACAACACCACTGACTGTATAGATATGGGGTTGCTTGGTGTTGCCCCCTTTGTTCTGACATGCTTGCTGGCTTTGGAACGCCTTTTTCAATTCTGCACAATGAAGGGAGAGGGCAGAAAAGGGCGTGATGCCCTGACCTGACAAGGTAGAATACTGTTAAGGATGCTATAGATCCGAGACCGATATAGCCAGACAGTAAGATAAAACAGAGATTCTATCCTTTTAATGATGTGACGTGATGTGACGATCTCCACAAAAGAGTGAGAGATGGAATTCACTCAAAAGAGAGAGAATTCAGACAGTAAATCCGTCTCACATGACTGTTAGAAATAAGCAGAATGTGCTCTATCATGAGTGCCTTTAGAGCTCAGAACAAACTCTCTGCAATCTAAATTTGTAATCTGCTGTGCAACACTTTCATGACAATTGTTCTCCTGTGTTAGGTATACTTTGAGTGAAATTGTTCCTATTTGATTAATGTATGGCTTGAATTGATGATTCAATCAGCGATCATTTTCTCGAAGTCCTGGCAAATGACGAAAATCCGTACGCGCGGGGTCGACTGTGGGAATTCTGATGTCTTTCGATGGGCGATCCCTGCCTTAAATATATTTCAGTTTTTAAACAATATCATTCTCACAGAACAAATTTATTATTGATCTTTTCTGATCCTAATTGTGTAAATAACAACAGGTCATTTGATGGTCACAGGGTCATTAAGAAACTTCGAATTCCAAATCATATCAATAGACGGAATCTGAAGTTGGGAGTTATAACTCATTGCGAGGGAATCCTTGAGTTATAACTCACACGTTTGAGTTAGAACTCAAACGTGTGAGTTAGAACTCAAACATGTGAGTTTTTACTCAAACGTGTGAGATTTTACTCAAATGTGCGAGATTTTACTCACCAAGCCGAGCTTCCCCCTTTCCAAAACCGTTGCTGGAAATTCGAGCTGGCGGACCAACGACTACTTTCACCAAAAGATACAGTCCTTGTCACGCAACATCATTGGGACAAAAACGAGTTCTACGGCGAGGCAGGAGGTGAAAGGAGAGAGACTTTCAGCCGCTTCCTCACCGACAAGGTAAGAAGAAAGGGTTTTGGTTGGAAAGAATACGTTGATTTGCTGGATGAACGGGAAGTTGACATGTCAGCAAACACGGAGACGCAGCTGGCAACGGAACTCTAAGCCAAGGGAGGGCCAAACGATGCAGTGGTGAACGACGCTCGTGCTGTTGCGTTTGCTGTGCTTGATTCTGCTGATGAAAAAAAAACTACACTCAACCTGTTATTTCTACTAAAAATTCTGATATCGCCATGGACGACCTTGCGCAACGCTCAGGACAAGGCAAGAGACAAACCGTTACAGGAAGATTTGATTTAGGCTGATGACCTGGCCAAGCACCCAACAACCCACCCATAATGCACGTGGCAAGCTCAAGTTTTATTTGACGAGGGCAAAACAGAAAAAAAATCATGTTGGCCTCACAGCATTGGAGTTTCAAGAAACTAGGGTTGAATACCACTCATTCGAAAAACGAAAATTCAGAGAGCGGATTCAACAAGAAATTAGATTTCAAAAGTACCGCAACTGTCTGGAGGATAAAAGAATGAAGAAGCTGGCGAAGTTGAAGAAGGAAGAAAAGAAAGAGAA